AACAGGAAGCAGTGTCATCAAGCCTTCTTGGGATTTCTCATGCACAATGTGACAATCTATATCCAGATGTTTCGTTCTTTCATGAAACACTGGATTGGCAGCAATGTGAAGGACACTGTTATTGTCACAGTAAAGTAGGAAAATCTGAGAAAGAGAAATATGGAGATCTCGGAGCAAGTAAATGATCCATTGTAACTCGCAAGTAGATGAAGCAAGGGCTCTATATTCAGCCTCGGAGGATGATCGGGACACGGTGGTTTGTTTCTTGGTTTTCCATGAGACAAGGGCACTTCCAATAAAAAAATAATACCCTGTGATTGAACGTCTTGAGTCCACACAGGTGACCTAATCAGCGTCGATAAAGCCAGAAACTTGAGTAGGACAGATTCTAGGGAAGAAGAGACCTGTACCCGGGCAACCTTTAAGGTAACGAAGAACACGCATAGCTGCAGCATGATGAGCTTTGGTGGGCTTGGACATGAATTGGCTCAGCTGTTGTGTTGCAAAAGCAAGATCAGGACGAGTATTTGTCAAATACACCAATTTGCCAACAAAGCGCCTATATGGCAATGGATCATCAAGATAGTCAGAAGCATCATTGTAAAGCCTAAGAGTACTGTTCATTGGAGAGGAGGAGGGTTTGCATCCAAGCATTCCTGAATCTATAAGCAAGTCTAAGCAGTACTTGCGTTGACAAAGCGAAATCCCCTTTGAAGAGTGAGCCACTTCAATTCTGAGAAAGTACTTTAGCTTTCCTAAATCCTTGATATGAAAATTGCTATAAAGAATATGCTTAATGTGGTTGATTTCTTCAACAGAGTTATCGGTTAGCACAATATCATCCACATATATTATCAAAGCAGTGAAATTTGAACCATGTCTTTTGGTGAAGAGACTATGGTCAGCATGAGCCTGTTTATAACCACATGTCAACAACAAATTAGATAACTTTTCGTACCATTTTCTGCTTGATTGCTTCAGCTTGTAGAGGGATTTGCGCAATTTGCAGCTCTGACCAGAATGGTATCCTAATAAGCCGAACCAATCATCCTCAATGTGTTCATGTCCTGTATTTGACAAAGGATATTAGAGAATTCATTTGAAAAAATTATACGGCAAGGAACAGTAGTTAATAATTTAGGAAGAGATAATAAATTAAAAGTAAAGTTTGGAACAAAAAGAACGTCATAGGTAATGAAATCCGGAGAGAATTGTATGCTTCCGGATATATGGGCCTGAACAGTAGACCCATTTGGTAGATTGATGTTTAATGGCTTGATTTCAGAATATTTAAAAAAAATGATCTAATGAAGTTGTTATATGATCAGTGGCTCCGGAATCAATTATCCATGGTGTGGTGTGTGAAAAATTATTAACTGTGTGTGTGGTGTTAATGGAAAAGATAAACCTATTGCCAAAACCAGAGTTGTGAGATTGGTTTGGGCTTGAGTGAGAGAGATTGGCCCTTGAAGGGATTTCTGAGTTTCCCCCACCAGATCCGGAAGCTTTGTTCAGAAGACTCATTAGTTGTTGGAATTGGGCCATAGTAATGTGAAGACCTTGGCCCAGAGTTGAAGTGTCTTTTCTTTCTCCTTCTACGGCCGGCACAACATCTGAAGAGGAAGAGACAGTAACGTTGTTCACGGTGCCTCCGGCGGTTGTGCTGCCGCCACCAAAGGTGTTCTTGTTGTTGAAAGGGCGTGGCTTTCCTGGATATTTGGGATGTCCAGGAGGATAGCCAAACTTGGTATAACATACATCGCTGCTATGTCCAACACGATCGCAATGGATGCACTTTGTCGGAGTGATGTTATTTTTCTGAAAGCACGAATCAATAGTGTGTTTGAGGCGGCCACATAATTCACATTTGCGAGTTTGTTTTGTCCCCCCTTGCTATGGATGGCCTCGGCCTTTACCAGAGACAACATTGATGAAGGGATTGGTTTCCATGGAAGAAGAATATGGGTTATGCTGTTGGCGCTCATGTTGGATTATCATGGAGAAAACACGATTAGTAGAGGGAAGAGGGTCAAGTAATAAGATTTGTGAGCGAACCATGGCGAAACGATCGTCAAGTCCTTTCAGAAAACGGATGATGAAATCTTGTGAATGGTAGGTGTGAGCAGAGTAAGAACAAGGGGTTAGAATTCGGTAGTTGTCCAACTCTTCCCAGAGTGATTTCAGAGAGGTGTAGTAGTCGGTGACGGAGAGCGCACCTTGTTTGAGAGAATAGATTTCTTCCTGTAACTCAGCGACACGAAGCAAATCTCCCTAAGAAAAACGTTCGCAAAGGTTAGTCCAGACATCAGTGGCTCGCTCAAAAAACACAACACTTTGAGCGATTGAAGGAGAAAGAGAATTGAGAATCCATGACATTAATAGGGTGTTACATCTTTCCCAAGAGGGGTATAAGGGATCGATGGTTTCTGAGATGGAGATGGCGCCATTGAGAAAGCCCATCTTGTTTTTAGAAATAAGGGCCATTCGAAAGGAACGGGACCATGACTGAAAATTGTTAACAGAGAGAGGTGGAGAAACCACAATAGATGAAGGGCTCTCACTTAGGTGTATGTAAAAAGGGCTTGAGAATTGAGAATCCATGACATTAATAGGGTGTTACATCTTTCCCAAGAGGGGTATAAGGGATCGATGGTTTCTGAGATGGAGATGGCGCCATTGAGAAAGCCCATCTTGTTTTTAGAAATAAGGGCCATTCGAAAGGAACGGGACCATGACTGAAAATTGTTAACAGAGAGAGGTGGAGAAACCACAATAGATGAAGGGCTCTCACTTGGGTGTATGTAAAAAGGGCTTGAAGGATTTTGGCTAAGATCAACAAAGGGAAAAGGAGGTGAAATGTCTTCCTCCTCATTTCCAGAGGAGCATGAATCGGCCATGAGAGAGGTAAGCTAGAAAAGCTTGAACCTTTAGAGGACTCTTGATACCATAACAGATAAAAGAAGAAAAGACAATTTGCATAAATTTCTGTCTACAATGATTCTCAATGATTACATTATATATATAGTCTGTACAAAAGAATTGGTATGACTTAAAAACTTTTGAGGATAAAGGCATATTCTGTATTATCTATTGACAGCTTATTGTTGCTCTAGAATGTTCACTAAAAGGAATAACAAACATAAAAAAAATAGAAAAGATTTCTCTACTGTGCTGCCATTCTATTATGCTAATTATGTAGTGTTTAAACCAGAATTATAAAGCTCTTCTATTAATTTCTATTCTCATTTAACCTGGCATATATCAAGTGTCCAGCTGGGAAGTTACTAAAAACTTCCCTCCTTTCACACTAAAGAGGAAAAGTAAAAAACTCAAATAGTTTTGAAAAAGTGATATGATCAAATAATGCTAAACGTTAAATTCTGAATAATGATATTGTATAATTAAATATGAATATTTTAAATAATTTATCACATAATAAAATAAAATAAGAAAGGATTAAGTAAGTTTTGAAATCTAAAAGATTTTATCAAATCAATTTATTTTATGAAAAAATAAATGTAAATACTATATTGATGATTTTTAATAAAAATATTATAAACATAATTTAATTAAAGTGGAGTCATAATATTGTTTAATTATGTCGTTTTGAGGAATCATGGTAAATGGTTTTGCCCCTAATTATGTGGAGCATGAGAAAAAACATAGGTTAAGTCAAAAAGCACGCACGCGGTGAGAAAACATGAATTGAAGATGCAAACATTAAAAGCGACGTTCGAAAATAAAGAAGAAAGATACAGCTTCGATAGATATAATTCTTTATTGTTTTCTGTTTTGTTGCTTTCATATGAACAATATTCTGAATCATCAAAACATTCTTTCAAATCATCGTACCTTTTGTGATCATTCCTCGATAGATGACGTGTCAAATAGGGTCCACTGTGATATTGACTTTCCCAAATGTATTTACAAATATAACTTTATTAAAACATCATTAAAAATAAATAAATGTCTTGAGTAGCCTTTTTCTAATATGTTCATTCGTGACCGACTATTTTGAGAAGAAAAAAAAAAATCAGTAATGAACAAATAATTGTTTTTATCCTGATTAATCATTTAAGCTTGCAGTAGCTTTTTTTAAAAAAAAGAGATGATATATTTGATCCTAATAACGTGTCAAAATAGAGTCTTTTAGTTCCCATCTACAATTCATATGATTGCAAGTTTTCCACAATCAAAACAACCCCAGATTCAGCGATCATTATATATGTAAAACTGCATTTTCTTTTCTTCACCGACCTTCTTATTATTTCAATAATCCGTATATAATGTATTTTTTTAATTTTATTTTAATCCAATCATACTCGTAAACCACATAAACGATTAATTTTATTTTAATTGAATCTTGTGAAACTTTGTTATATTTCTTAGAAAATATAAGTAAGCCATGAGATAATTTGATCTCCATTCCTACTTAACAAGATTTTGATAGAAATTTATTTGAATTCACACTCAACATGGTAAAGATATAAATTTTGTTACACTTACTCCCTTTTATCACATCCAATCTGACCATTATTGAGAGGATCTAAATTCATTTAACACTTATTTTCATATTTTTTAATTTCTTAAATTATTAGATATTTTTAAGATTTTATGTTAATATTTTAAATAATTAAATTTGAATTTTAATATTTTTTAATTTTTTAAAAAAACTCCAACGTAAATCTTAGTTATTTAAAATTTAAGATATTTTTTCTTAAATTTAATTTATTTTTGTTTTTATTAAACGAAACAATATCCTTGCAATACTTGCTTAGTTTAATTAAAACTAGCAAGGAAGGAGGCCATGCGAATGCACGGGAATGGGCAAAAACATTTGAAGGCTTTAGCCCAACAATGTCGTTAATGGGCTCCAGGCAACAATTGAAGGTCAAGGCCCAACCATGTTGTTCCTGGGCTCACTTAACTTACATCAGATGTGGACCCAAAACAAACTTACATCAGAAACATTTCCATAAACACTTGAAACCTCGGCAATTGTTCTTCTCATGTTTCTTGTCTACACTGTGCCCCAAATGGGCAACCTCAAACCTTGGCTATTGAACTCGAGTGTAAATTGCGTTGGTGATGGGCGATTTTGGTGGTTAGGGAGAAGAAGGGATTGTTACTGTTACTACAAGCACTATCTGATTCGATGGATGACAACGAGTAAGAGGGTTCAAGACAGAAGCAAGAAAAAGAGGGTTCACGAGCTTGAAGTCACAACAGAGAAATGGAAGATAGCCTCCAAAATCATCTTCTTGATGGAACTTCTCAAGCAAGAACCCGAAATGGTGATTCCCGTTAGCTCCCTCGAACAATACCGTAAACAGATCAATCTTCCCAAACCCCACAGAATCTCCGATTTCCTTCGCAAAACCCCAAAGCTCTTCGAACTCTACAAGGATCAAAAGGGGGTGTTGTGGTGCGGTATGACCCAGAAAGCTGAAGACTTGATGGAAGAACAACAAAGGGTCATCGAGGAAGAGCATGCTGATAAAGCTGCAGAGCATGTTACGAGGTTTCTCATGATGTCGGTGGAAAAACGGCTTCCTTTGGAAAAAATTGCTCATTTTAGAAGAGATTTTGGGTTGCCATTGGATTTTAGAACCCGTTGGGTTTTCAATTATCCTCAGCATTTTAGGGTGGTGAAGTCTTTTGATGGGGTTGAGTTTTTGGAGCTTGTGTCTTGGAACCCTGATTGGGCTATAACTGAACTAGAGAAGAAGGTGGTGAATGGAGTAACTGAAAATGCCACTTTGCATACCCCAGGTATGCTTTCACTGCCATTTCCTTTGAAATTCCCTTCAAATTTTAAGAGGGTGTATCGATATTATGGAGAAAAGATTAAGCTTTTTCAAGAGAGGCCTTATTTGTCTCCCTATGCTGATGCAAGGGGTCTTAAGGCTGGATCTTTGGAATTTGATAAGAGGGCTGTTGCTGTTATGCATGAAGTGCTTAGTTTCACCATTGAGAAGAGGTTGGTCACTGATCACCTCACTCACTTCCGTTGGGAACTTGTGATGCCTCAGAAGCTCATGAGGCTTCTGCTCAAGCATTGTGGCATCTTCTACGTTTCTGAGAGAGGGAAGAGGTTTAGTGTGTTTTTGACTGAAGCTTATGATGGTTCCGAGCTCATTCAGAAATGCCCTATGGTTCTCTGGAAGGAAAAAGTTCTCAGTCTTGTGGGTTATAGAGGAAGGAAGAAGAAGTTTGAGACATACAGTGACATGTCTGATGGGGAAGATCATGATGGTTTGCTCCAGAGTGATTCGGAAGTGGGGAATTTGCATGTGCAGATTGAGCAACAGGATACCTTGGATTATGAGGATTCATTACTCGGGGATGATTCTGAGATAGATATTGGAGAGATTACCTGAATATATTCCAAATTTACCACATGTATAATTGTTTCAATTTTAACTTCAATGTTCTAGGGAACATGCAACTGTATACGCTGATAAGTTAATATAAATCCAATTTTGAGGATGGCTTCCAAATAGCTTGTATGTTGTTGAAATTTTGAAAACCTGTGACAGTCTGTTGTTTTCCAAAAAGGATTGTACTTGTGGCTGTGCGATGGGAGGGAAAAATTATTTAGAGGCTTGGCCATACGAAAAGCAAGACAGCATGGTTATTACAAGTTAGGCTAAAGATTAAACATGCAGCAAAACACTAGATAGAGGAAATGGATGCGTCTTCATGAGAAATTTTGTCTAATTTTAGGCCTTTATGTTATTAGGGAGGTAAAGAAACTTGGTTTTGAACCAGGGATGGTCTCATCTAGAAGTGAGTGGTTGTATCATCCACATAAAGTGATATACACGGAGGACATGCATCCTCTAATAAATTGGTTTAAAGGACATTCATCATTATTTCGGTGAATTGTACTGGATGAATTCATACTTTCTATAAGCAGTGATGTTCAATAAACAGACTTGGGTGAATATGGGAGTTGTTATATACATGTTATCTGATGTGATTGCATTATACTCGTTAGTAAAGTCTATTTTGAGCTCGTGTCTTAAATAAAGGTTTCTGCCTTTCAAAGAGAAACACAATTTGTGATTTTTGGTTTGGGTATTTAAAATGCATTGGTCCTGTCTCAATTGAGAGGATCCATAATCCTTAGCTTTTTCTTTTCTCAAAGTTCTCAAAATATTTTCGACCTTACATCAATTGTCTCTTGGTATCCCAACCATCCGATCATATATTTAGGCAATTCAAATCTGGATTCATTATTCATTATATTCAGTTAAAAATTCAGAACAAGCCTAAGAAATTGAGAAAATAAGCTTAATTTTGCCTTAAGGATTGGCCATGTGTTGTTCTAAGCATTTACAAGCTTTTCAATGAACAAATCCTAGATTACTCCTTAGTGACAATATTCATCAAATTATTATTAGTTGTATTCTTGGTTTTATCCAGGCACTCAAATTTTGATTTCATTTGAGAAATTAGAAAACTCATCAGGCAAACAAAGGCGCCTACATGATGAGAGGGACAAATGTCTTATTATCCTTAAAATCTTTGAAAGGTATGATGCTTCCTTTTCTTTTCTTTTAAATATATATAATTATTGACTTGATACCAATGTTCAACTTTGGCAAGTTGGTTCGAATTAATTTCATCTTCATCTGCTATCATCTTTATTATTGACAATATTTACTTTGCTCCCTACCAGGTTGTATGTCACTGTCAAAGTTGATGGAAGAAGCTTCAATGTTTCTCCAAAGCAGATGAATGTGTTCCCAAATCATTAGTATCGTATCTGCCATGCCCACTCTTTTAAAAGGCAATGTTTGTTGCATCCACTTCATAAATATGCCTGTGCTGGACAAGTTCAAGTTCATAATATTCACAAGACAAGTTCAAGTTCTTGCCCAAACTATTTTTTTAATTAAATTTGAACACTTGTGAATTATGATCAAATGCTTAAAATAGCTTGATTGGGAGTTGCACATCCATAATATATTCCTTAACAACTCACATTACTGCAAAATTAACTCACTTTTTAATACATTCTTTGTTATTGAGTAATACTTATTCAAAATTTACTAAATTGCGTGAATTTTACACTAATTATTTTGAGATGATTCAACGCTGAAATATGCTTTTCAAAGAATATGTTAATAATATTTTTCTTAAATGAAAGTAAGCTTTGAAAGTTCTCAACATATATCTGGTGCTAAATTTGGTTTTAAATATTTTTTAATTTTTGATTCCTCAAACAATAAGAATCCCTACCCCTCGGGACACACCTTAGCCGAACCTAACTATCATTTACGTTTTTATGTGCAACAAGAAATTAGTAAATTGGTTGTTACGTAATGTTCATGATTCACCTGTTTCTTGGGACTATTAAAGACGGGCACTAATGGCATTTCTACGGGGCTTCATTGGAAACACCTCGTCTCTCTCAGAACATTTTTTTCTTATTCAAATTAATTGTACCTGGATTAAGCAATAAAATCAAGGCTAATCTTAATGAGCATCTTTAAAATACAAATTAAGAAAATAAGTGTAATATATTTAATAAAAAATATTAAGCTATTAAATGTAATTGAAACATGTGTCAAAATAATCTTAGTACTAATTTTTTTTTACTGAAACATTTTTCATTTCCAAGTAAGACCAGCAAATGACATAATCACTAAGGTTTTTATTCTAACATGAGGATTTGGGGAATTAGAGTTAAGCAGTTGCAGTGATTGTTGTTTTACAGCATTGAGATAGGCCCTTAAAAAGTCAAAAGAAGGTAGTTTGGTACAACAGAGTTGAGTAATTACTTATGCTGCTCTTACAGGAACATAACCAGCAAAGGGTTTATTTATGCATGGGACCCAAAGAGACAGCAAAAATCACATGTATGTAATTTTAATGTGGATATATTGAAACATACAATAAATTAACCCTCTTAAAGACGCATTGTTTTACAGGTCATTCTAAACTGCCTGTGATATTGTCAGCTCCTCTCTTCTATGCTTCCTGCGCTTTCAATTTTCATTCATTTATCAACCTACTATGTCTTAAGCCTCATTCTAACATTCAATATCGTTTTCTATTAGTAAAATAGGTATTGTTAATCTTAAGCTTTAATTATGAACTTAAATAATATTTTTTAATAAAATATATTTTCTGACGCGTGTTTAAAGACATATGTTAAAAAAATAATATAAAATGTAATTTTTTAATTAAAATTTATAATATTTAATGTTCTTAATATGTTAAATTATATAATATCTTATTATTTTTAATAAAAAATTACTGTATATAAATTCTTACTATATGAACTTGAATATATTACAAGTTTTGTTTATAAAATCTTACTATAAATTGTTTAAATTTAACTTTAAAAAATTGAAGTTAACATTTTTTAATAAAAAATATAATATTTTCTCAGAGAAAGAGATATGACATAATTATAACAAGACTCACAATTATTTATGTTGAATCCATTAATTTAACTTTTTTTTTTTATAGCATGATATAAGTATGTTATTTATTAACATGATTTTATCTAAATCTGGTATTTACACAGTAAATCTTATTTAAAATACTAAGCAACATTTTCCATTAAAATGTCTAATAAATGTCATTACCCTTAACGACCAACTGACCATTAGTCTATCAACATCTTATTAATTTCCAATCTCAACTGTGACTAACATTTCATTCGCTTGGTCGTTAGCGTTTGGCACATATTTAAACTGGTGTTACAACCAAAATTTTGATATACACTTGTTGTTCTGCACTATATGCAGTGATTTCAATTATTCTAACATTGCATTTTTCTTCGGGTATTGCTCTCCATTTGGCGACCTTAACGATCACTTGATCATGCAATGATCTGAATGTTTGTTTAACATTTATCAGATCCAGCGATCAACTAGGCAGAGAGAAAAAAAAACAAAACAGTTTACAGTGTTAACAGCACATTTTTATCAAAATTTATAAGAATTTATGAATAATGTGAACATCATTTCCTATATATAAAAAATTCTACTCATAATTTTGTGAATCTCAATAGATTTTAATTAATAAATAATATTGTGTCAGAAAATATCTTATTAATTTACCAAACAATCTTATTAGTTTACCAAACAAAAAGAAATGATCTTGTTAACATTTATAATAGGTTTATTTTGCTTAAGGCATGCTAATCAGTAATTTAAAAAGAATACTTAAATGAAAAGTAAAATTATTTGATAATTTATTAAAAATTGTAATATATATATTTATATTGTTTAATTTCTAAGGCACCTTTAATATATATTTTTTAATTTTTTTATTTTTTATTTTTAAAATACTAATTAACAAAACTTTTTGCTTAAAGGCATGGACATGATTAGGAAAGTAGAAAAATTGGGAACTAAAGTTAGAATGAAATACAATTTATCTTAATTTTGATTATGATCTCTATATTTTAAAAAAAATGGTTTTTAGTCCTTATAAATTTACAAGCATATTAAGGTTTGTCCTTACAATTTATTTCATCTTGATTTTAGTCCCTCAAACTTTATTTTATTCAAGTGTTCGTCCATTTAAGTATGTCAAATATTAATCTAAATATTTATGTCATCTAAATCAAGTGTTTTGACATGTTAGTAACAATAGAGACTAAAATTTTTAAAATTATAGGAATTCAAAATGAACATTTTAAAGTATACAGATTAAAATCAGAAGTATAAGGCTTAAAGTATTACAGTTAAAATTTAAAATTTTTATAAACAAGAGATTAAAAATATATTTAAACTTATAAGTTTTTAAAAAAATAAAAGGAGACTGCTAAACTTTAGCAACTGTAAACGTGGAGGCCAGCTGGTGTGGCCCAATAGATCTGACATTTAATGTTGAGAAGAGAGTAGAGACACAACTGGGTCGATATAAATGTAAAGAAATTTTATTTTCTAACACAAGGAAGAGGGATCGGAGAGATAAGAAAAAGAAAGAAATAGTATACTAAACTCTAATAGATATACAACACTCCCTCTTGATCTTTAGGACTTTGAACTCGGGCACCCACTTACATTAAATGAAGAAATTAAGGCTGTTGAAAAGTCTCAACCACACAAACATCAATTAGGTGCTAGCATTAAGTGATTTCCACCCACCTCATGTATGATCAATTTGGTATATATAAATATGTAGACATAGCGGTGATGGTAGCATCAATAACACAATAATATTCAAAATATAGCATATAGTAATTTTAATCTAAGATTGGGGCATGGCTAATGAACGTGATCTCTTCTCAGCAGAGATTGTGAACCGAGGGATTGAATCATCAGGACCCAACGCGGGTTCATTGACGTTCTCTGTGAGGGTGAGAAGGAGGCTGCCAGATTTTCTTCAATCGGTGAATCTCAAGTACGTGAAATTGGGTTACCATTATCTGATAAACCATGGCATATACTTGTTCACCATACCCGTTCTTCTTGTGGTGTTTAGTGCTGAGGTTGGTAGCCTCAGCAAAGAGGACCTTTGGAAGAAGCTCTGGGAAGATGCACGTTACGATCTTGCCACCGTACTCTCTTCTTTTGGTGTCTTCGTTTTCACCTTATCCGTTTACTTCATGTCAAGGCCACGTCCCATTTACCTCATTGATTTTGCATGTTATAAGCCCGAAGATGAACTCAAGGTACCTCTCAAACCCAATGCACTGCATCATGCTTTTATTATTTTCTTTTAGTTTATTGCCTTCTTCTTTTTTTGTCGTAATTGCTTCTTTCTTTTTCAAAATTTCTAAGAACTAGTATTTCGGTATGAAAATTGCTATTGATACGTTCTTCTAAACGTGTCTTTTGTAGTTATTTCAATTTATTTTAAATTAATTTATAGAATAAATATTTTATTTTTAAAATAAATAAATTATAAAATATATTGAAATTATGTTATTGATATTTCTCTTATTATTATTTGATTAAAAAAATTCTTGACTATACAGAAAACGAAGTATTCAAAGGTAAAGATGATTGACATATAGATTTTTTTTTTCATCCAAACACACTCCTTGACTTAAATTTCGTTCGAAACTTGCACGGAGATATTGTACAAAAAAAAAGCCTGCACTTCATTAAGATAAATTAAACTAGACAAGTTAAAACAATTAAAGTTTTTATCAGCTTATATATTGAGTTTCTTTAAAAAATGTTTTTTTTTTTCAAATTTAACAGTTACCAAACAATTTTTAGCATGAGTTATAAATCTTTCTGGAAATAAAGTAAGTTAAGGAAACACATAATGGTAATTTGTAGTTTGATTTTTTTTATGCCCAACCAAAATACTTAAGGAAAATAGTCACTAGTATTTTTATTGATATAAAAATGAATAAAAGAAAATAAAATTAATAAGTAGTACTCTAATGTTAAGTGAATGGTTGTTGAAATATATAATCTATATAACATAAAAAATATATATTTCTCGTATCATTAAAAGTAGATACACAGTTATGTATTTATATATATATTGGATATATTTCAGATAAGTGTATAAAAAATAGGATAAAACAAGCGAAAGATAACTTACATCAATTTTGAGGATTGAAATAATATTAAAATAATCTATAATACATATGCAGGTGTCAAGGGAACAATTCATGGAACTAGCAAGGAAATCAGGCAAGTTTGATGAAGGGAGCCTCGAATTCCAAAAGAGGATGCTAATGTCTTCAGGTATAGGGGACGAGACATACATCCCAAAATCAGTGGTAGCATCAACCGAAAACACCGCAACAATGAAAGAAGGTCGTGCTGAAGCATCCATGGTAATGTTCGGAGCACTTGATGAGTTGTTCGAGAAAAACCGTGTTCGACCAAAGGACGTGGGCATTCTAGTAGTGAATTGCAGCATCTTCAACCCAACACCATCGTTGTCAGCAATGATCATAAACCACTACAAGATGAGAGGGAACATATTGAGCTACAACCTTGGTGGCATGGGTTGTAGTGCGGGAATCATAGGTGTGGATTTGGCAAGGGACATTCTTCAAGCTAACCCTAATAACTATGCGGTTGTTGTGAGCACTGAGATGGTGGCATTCAATTGGTACCAAGGAAAAGAGAGGTCTATGCTCATTCCTAATTGTTACTTTCGGATGGGTTGTTCTGCTGTTTTGCTTTCAAACCGTCGTCGTGATTATAGCCGCGCTAAGTACCGTCTTGAGCATATTGTTCGTACCCATAAAGGTGCTGATGATCGCAGCTTCAGGTTTGTTTTCTTCTCTTTATAGTTTGATGATCAAGAGTGTGATTGTATTGGCATCTAATTTACTCTATACAATCTATGTTAACGTTAATTAATAAGTTATAACATAGTTTAATGTATACATGTTTGAGTGAGTTTTAAACATATTATTGCTTGTCAAGTGTTAGATTGCGCAGCTATTAGCTGATGCGGTGCATGATTTTCTTTTCATTATTGTAAAATGATTCATAAAAAGACTCCATTAAATATATACGCCAGTAGATGGATAAGAAAAAAAAAAAGAGATAAGTGATATGATGGAAAATAAATAAATGTTAACATTGTTAAGATATTTATATTGTGGTTTTTATAAATGGTGATTTCCATGTTGAGTGTTGCATCTGCCTTGTGCAATCCTTTTCCTTCTAAATTAATCAATCTCGATGTGACAACATTTTGGCCTTGTGTGAAACCAGCAATTGGTGTTTCTTTGTTTTCGGCTTTTACAATACCAATTGATTAAGAGGAATTTTATTGTGTACTTGATGCTGTGAAAATGATTCAATGTGTTTTATTAAATATTTTGAATTATTTTAAAATGTACATATTAAATAATTTTTTAGTAAATACTTTTACTATTTTAAAACATATTTAAATTTCTTATTTTATTTCCTAAAATTAATTAATTTTTTTTAATGTGTATTTGATGGCCATGCGGAATATTAGTTGAAGTTTAGAAAAAGTAATTTCATAGTACATGCTTTTAGAATTTTTTTTTTCTATAAAGTATTATTTTTAGCAAATGAAACAAAATATACCAAGACGTTTGCTGAATTTTTTTTGGTAAGTTACATAATATTCTGAAGTTTTTAAACATAACTTTTCAACGTGTATCAATAAACACATAATAAGAAGATAAAAATATATAAAAAATATAAAATTCATTCAATGTTTTCTTCTTTCAACAGTTTGAAGTATTTAATAAGCTTTATTAACATTTTCACACCACATGTTCATAGATATAATCGTTTAATTAAAGATTTTTTTTAAAAAAAGAGGCAGTATATCTTTTCAACGTGTCTCTATGAGCACATAATAATAAGATAAATATAAAAAAAAATATGTTTATATATATATATATATATATATATATATATATATATATATCTTTCCTTAATTTTGTAAAACTGAATATGATTTATGTATTTTATGAAATTGAATTTTCGGGAAATATAAAGGACGTGCTTTGATGTGAGCATATGTATTTTATCAATATATGTTCATAGATATTTAGCTACTACTAATGTATTTTTAAGGGGTTGACATTTTAGTTCGATTGAGCAACCGTCTAATTAATCACTGACAAGACTCCGGGACCCTGTCCACTTCCCCATCCAAAACAAGTGACCCACAAGGAAAATCCATTAACAAAATTGCCAAGTTGTTTTACCATATTTTTGTTGCTAATAATCAGTCATCAACTGTAAAGGTCTAATCACTATTTTTTTTATATATAATATAATGTTCGGTGAATTATTTTGGTCTGCCATAACGAATGGCTGCTACATATATACAACAGGTGTGTGTACCAAGAAGAAGATGATCAAAAGCTCAAGGGACTAAAGATTAGCAAGGACTTAATTGAAATTGGTGGTGATGCTTTGAAAACAAACATCACTACACTAGGACCCTTGGTGCTACCCTTTTCTGAGCAGCTTCTCTTCTTTGCCACCTTGGTGTGGAGGCACTTATTTGGCAATAAATCTGATGGGAATTCACCATCATTGAAGAAGCCATACATTCCTGACTACAAACTAGCTTTTGAGCATTTTTGTGTGCATGCTGCAAGCAAGGCCATTCTCGATGAGCTACAAAGGAACCTGGAATTGAGTGACAAGAACATGGAGGCATCAAGAATGACATTGCACCGCTTTGGCAACACATCTAGCAGCAGCATTTGGTATGAGTTGGCTTACATGGAAGCAAAGGAGAGTGTTAAAAGAGGAGACCGTGTTTGGCAACTAGCTTTTGGATCAGGCTTCAAGTGTAACAGTGTGGTTTGGCGTTCCATGAAAAGAATCCCCAAGCCTTCTAGGAACCCTTGGCTTGATTGCATCAACAGATATCCCGAGTCTCTCAACTAAGTCAAAATTTGAGAGAGATATTATTAATCTATCAGTGATATTATATCATATGAAAGTTATGCTAATTAGGATAAATAATGGTAGTTCTTCTAAGTTGGTCTTTGAATTTTACCCCTGGTTTTAATTTCTTTCTCATTATATTCCTGGCTTGAAAATGTATACTGTTCCTGATTAGGCATATACCGTGCCTGTTTGTTTCTCTGTCTCTTCATAGGATTATTGATATCAAAGTTAATGGATGATTATTACCTATAGTCAATGCTACAAGTCTCATGTTTTACTTTGCATTCCCCCTTTCCTTGATTAAAATGGATTAGTACAGTTCCTAATGCCAATACGAGTACAAAAATTAGTAAGTTAGGTGGCCTTGTAGTATGATGGAAATTGTGAATCCAAGGTGATTTATCGATGTATAAAATATTGCTTATATTAATTGGCTAATTGGACACGGAAGCAATATCGGTTAAAGGGTCCTTCACTCAATAAAACTGTGGCCATGCCGAAAGCACCTCTTAACCGTTCAGGAAGAGACATTGTTAGTGCTATAATGAATCTTTGAACGTTCACCAATTCAACCCTCCATTATCCCTATCTCAATTTGAATCCAAATCAATTTTTATTATATATTATTACCGATGACAAATCAAAATTCCTTTGTGGCATTGATATTTGTAACATCATTATTATTATGTGTAGCTGGCCAGACAAACGAGTTGGAAGCTGTCATGAGATCCCTTGGCGCTTTGGAACAAGTTGCTCTAGATGCCATTAACATAACCATTATGGAGGTTAGTAAGGCTAAAGCTTTTGTGGATTCGATCCCCAAACTAAAAAGCTTACGAAATGTCAAAGGTGACGAAGTTCATCTGTGTATGGGAGGCTTAATTAATGCCATGAGCAATGTTCTAAGTGAACTGCAAAAAATGGAACAACTTGAATTATGGGGCATCAAGTACTTAGAAAATAATGTGATTGACGTTTTGAGCTTCAAAGCTATGTGCGACCGTGCGTTGGGAGATGTTGATGAAACCATCAAAATCATGGTCCATCGTAAGTTGTAAGACATTGTGCTCCTTACGAATGATGTGATATTTCGTATTGCTAAGTTTGAATTGGATGGCAATGTTACAAGGAAACCTGAAGATATACTAACAAAGACATTGGTATGTATGCATGAACTGAAGAATAGTATCGCACTTGTTCATTGCATTATGCTTGTGAAATTAATAAACGATCCCAAGTTAGTTTGAAGTGTAGAGATTGGTTGTGCTTAGAATCACTGCATACACAAAGCAAAATAAATAAATGAAATTGTGAGTTTCTCTTTGATTTCTTGGTTTATTTGAAAATCGGCTTGTATTTAAATTGCCACACCTGCAAATTGCAAGTGAATTTTGTAATGTTTTCTGTATCTTCGAACGTGACATGGTTGAAAAAAAAAAGGTTTAAATGTCATTAATTTGTTGTTGACATATAACAACAAACAACAAATTTAAGAAGTATAACCAAAAAAACAAAAATAGAGTCACTCTTCTTTTTTTATTAAGTTACGATTTTCACAAATAAAGCATACAACATATCATTGTAACAAAAAGACTGAAACATGTACATCAGAGACAATCAAATTAAAAAGTTTTCTTAAAATTTCTTATCTGTGTTTAATAATGTAAAAAATAATAATAATTAGAAAAATTTGTAGATACAAAGAAGATTTCAAATATAATAATAGTAGTAATAATAATATAATAGTCTAATTCAAATCAAGATGGCCTCCGGACAACTCAGATTGAGAATGTGAAATTGGTCTAATCCAAAAGTTTTTTCAGAAGCAGACATTTAACGAGTCGTGAATTAGTATTCAGATCAATCGCTCTAAAAGGTTGACCAGAAAAAAGACCACTCTAAAAGATGTTACTCGAACTTAAAATTTAAGCAAATGGTGGGTAGAAAATCAGTTGACCATTCATCAAGATTTGAAGAACAATGACTCATGTAACAAACAAACAAAAATGTAATTATACTAATCTCTCTTAAAGTTAGTAATAATTATACGTTCATTGAAAAACTATCTCAACGTTCTTTACATTTATTTTATTTTATTATTTTTAAGCGTATTGTATGTATGGTTCATGTATAAAAATAAGAGAGATGTGTATTTTTTTTTAAGAAATAATGATTGTTAATATACCAAGTAAGAGAGGAATGTAACTTTTGAACAAACACGGTAAATGGAATTAACTAGCATTAAACTCGAGAGGTTATGGTAATTCATAAGAAAAATATATACATTACGTAATTAAATATTATTTCATAAAAAATTAGGATTACGTACTGTTTGTTCTATATACTTAGTCACTGATAAAACAAAATCTTAATTCATTCTAAAAATTATTTTCAACAATTCTAAAAAGCTTAAAATCGTGAAGAAAACAAACTTATTTCATGAATCGAACAGCTATCCAAATAAATGGGTGTTGTATTGAGAAGTGTCAAGGAAAGGGAGGGGAGGGCCCTTTGAAGAAAAACAAGTGGTTTTTAGAAGTATTTTAGCCCATACATCACAGGAAGGTCCAAAAATAAAGGAGGATAGTTGTGCTGTTTTTAGGATGGGAATTGGAAAATATCAAATATCAAAAGTGCACTAATTCTCTGTTTTAATTTATTTTTTAAATTATTATTTAACCAATCAAATAAATCTACTTTTATTTGACCTTTTTTTTTGTACTGAACCATCTTTCATACTAAGGCACAGCTGTTTTAGGATTATGTGAATAATATATTATTTAAATTTTAAGAACTGTACTAAAACCATTTTTTCTAAGGCTATCAGTTGCAATATTGGACATCTTCATTAAAAAATTACATAAAAATAATGAACATAACTATATATTATCTTTATTATTTTTAATATAAAATTTTTAAAACATGGTAGTTTTTTATTTAAATATAAATACAAAAACAAAATATTTTCTCAAACTAAATAACTTATTTTTTCAAACCAGTAATCCCTCCCTAGTTTACATTACATACACTTTTATTACCATCCAAAAATGATTTTTAAAAATACTTGCATAAGTATTTTAAAGTTTTAAAACATTTTTTAATATAAATGTCGAGTATTCCAATATAACAATTTTTTTAATGATATTACTAACATAGGCTCATGTAACCTTGGCGTCATTTTCTGAGCATTTGTCTCGGTTGCTTTTGCATTATTATTATTTCTCTGATTTTTCTTCTTTCTGGCTCTCTTTTTGTTTGCTTTTGAAGATGGAAAAGGGTGGTCCATGGGGAATAAAGCAAGGCCTGTGTGTAATGACTGAAGATAGAAAGAGAATTACACGTATTGTTCAATAATATCACAACATATATTGTGGAAATAGGAGCAATGGGAGCAAAAATGTTCATCACTCATATTGATGGTGCCTGCCTCTACTGATATTTTTGCAAGCCTTATTTATTATCCAAAAATAAAACATTGAAAGGGTAAGGGGTGACTATAATGACAGTACCCAATACCCCAATTACCTAAAGAAAATTAAAAATGAGAGCATCAGAGGAATTGACTTAACGAAAACAATCAATCCTTGTAGTTGTCATGCTAACCAATCGTCATCCATACCGTCAATATCTCCAATGTCCATACTGTGTATAGCATTGTCAAGAAAAAAAAAACAAAAGAAACAAAAAGTGAAACGATTAGTATGAAACATATATAGATAGGAAAGTCCAAAGCCAAAAAAGAAAGCCTTGTCCTGTGCAGATCAACACAGCAACAAATCAAACAAATAAGAATTATATGAAGAATACTGCTTGCAACATATAATTTTTTACACACTTTTAATTAAGGATTACATGGTCTAACTTTTTTTTCATTTTTGTATAGTTTGCAGGAAATTTTAACCAATAAAAATGTGTTAAGAAGAGTGTTTTAAAAAATATTTCTTTTCATTTTTCTTGTATGTATATTTAGACCAAAAGCAAGACATAACCTGAAAATAAACAAACTATTGTGTTAGTCAAACAAATGCAGCGTTTACAAGGAACGCCTGTTTGTCATAAACATTAAAATCTGTAGTTAATATAATTATTGATTAGGTAAGGCACATGGACATGGCCTATAACGAACATCAACATTTAGAGTCCACTGGACCAAGCCTCACAAATTGACTGTTGCAAAGTCCACTAGGGCTACCAAGAAACACACAAGGAGGAAACATATACAACAAAATCAATTGCGTCCTGGACCAAAAAAAGCAAAAAACAAAAAACCCCTAATTGCGTCATGATCAGGAGCAAATCATACACTAAAACCCATATGCAGAAAATTGTCTTGCCTGCAAGGGGTAAAATTCTAAACCGTTTGAAGGTTTCGCATAGGGCTGTAATGCCCTCCAACTACTCCAGTTTGGCTAAAGATGCAGAAGAAAGAACCAATTTCAGACTTAAATGGTTTCAGTTTATATATATGTCATACTCAAAAATGAATATGGAGATTGAAATAATATTACGGGAATTTTGGTTCTTGACTTATGTTCCATAACCAAGTTCAACTGGAAACAGGCCAGAATAATAACTATTCAATTATATTCCAGTTTAATTCATTTACAGTTCAGCTTGAGTAGATTAATTCGCATCACGATAGGTATCATTAGGATACTTAATGACTCTTTGAGACCCAAAAGGAGAAAAAGCAAAATGAGGTGATAACTATAAATTTCCCATCAAGAATATTAAATTACCCCACCAAGAATTAAAATAACAGTAAAGTAGATCTCATAATTCTGTAGGAGGAGACAAGATTGAATCGTTTTCTCATGCACAAATAAGGTGAGACCTAATTAAATTTCCTTCACTATGCTAGAAGAGAACTCCAACAAATTGCAAACTGTCCTGTTCCTTTCCTAAGCATAATAAGAGATAGAAACAAAAAGTACTCATTTATGAAAATCAAGAAACTTTATGTTGAACTTACCAAGGCAAGGTAGAATCTTGGAAATAATCTTCCGAGCACTGCTCTAAGCAGCTCTCGTTTGCATTCAACCAAGCTGGAAACTCCAGAAGTTGGTCAAAATTATGGTATGCATCATCTTCAGTCTTGGCTTCAGGTGCCTTATGTTCCATGTTTTTCAAGAACTTGAACCAACAAGCTGATTTGACCAAATTCATGGTATCATTCCACTCCATTTGATATTGCTCTCCTAATGATCTGATCTCTGCCATACCCTCATCGTCCATGGCTGTGTGTAAGCCTCCAGTAACCTTTGTTTGAGCATTGGATTCAATGGTATCCCCCAGTGAAGAAAGCCCCTCTCCTTGTGATATTACAACTGAAGGAACTTCCTGTGGAGAAGAGGAGGTTGCAGATGAGTAAGAAGATGATGATGAATTGTTGAGGTGAAGGGTAGCACCTAGGTTGTCAAAATCATGAATATTGAGGTTCAATCCCAAGGTCTGTTTTGGAAGAAGGAAATCAGGGTTTTCAGCCATAAGGGGTGGTGGAGGAATTGGGGAAGCAGAAGGCCAGGTGTAAGAATTTGGAACGGCAGGAGGAGGTTGGGATAAGCATGAATAAGACAATTCATCCATGTAACTTGAAAAATTGTTTGTGCATGCTGGATAAATTCTGGGATTTCTTCTAGACTTAAATTTTCCATCTTGCTCAAAACTTGGGTACTGTGAAGGCTGAAGGGATGCTGAATGCCTTTGTTGCTGTTCTTGGGCTTGTTGCTGTTCTTGGTGTTGCCGTTGCTGTTGCTGCTTCTGTTCACTTGCTTCTTTCATAGCTGCCCTGTGAAATTTCAAGGCGGTGACAATCTCCCTCCTAGCCTCAGCCATATTCAAAAGCCTTTCTTGATAAGGCCTGGTAGTGTGGAGTCTCCTCCTAACTTGTTTTTTATGTTGTTGGGGTTGCATGGATTGATGTGCCTGATGAGCACCTACAACTTTGCCATGTTTTGTTAAATTTTGACCATGGGAAACGCCACCTTTCACAACACTATCTTTGTTTGTTGGACTCATGATGATGTCTTTTGTTCTAGAGGTGGTTAGTTGTTTCACTAGGCTACGGATGTAAGCACCAGAGAGAGGAGGTTCTTCTTCAATCTTACTCAGATTATCTAATTCCATTCCTCTTTTTTTAGCTTCAACCTCTCATCTATACGTGGGTCGGTAATTCAGAGAAAGTGGTGAAAGGTTGGTGGAATCGTATCATATGGGTTTTCTCCTACAATTCAGAGGGACAAAACAAAGTACACAACGCAGAGGCAGATTGTGATCAGATTGAAATGCAAGTCCTGCTCCTCTTGGATGGCCTCATGAGCGTTATAAATAGTTGGGACAGCCTTGGGCCTTTCAAATATTTTGGAATTTTGTCTTCAAAATAAACATTGGACTTTTCTTGTTTTGGCAAACTACGTTTGTTACCGATTTATTACCTGCTTTAAATGAATTATTCTCAGTGTTGGTCTCACCATGTCGTGTCTTACTTCAACAGTAATATAATACAAAGCTTATCTTTTTTTCTCAGGTTAACTTAAGATCAGAGTATAACTTAAATATTACTTTATTTTAGTTGACAAAATTTTTAACACGGTCTTCCTCGATGCTCAGAATTCAGCATCTGAAACATGATGTTTATAAAATTAAACAATAACCAATGATCATGAACCTAATCAACCCCTAATTTAATTCTAAAAATCAGCTTTAAAAAGATTATCTAAATCATATTCTTAATCGTCTTGACAAATATCAACTTACACCCTTCACTTCGGTGAATAGCTCATTACTTTTAGAAAAAAGCGACCAACTATACCATAAGTTGTTTCTAATTACTTAGCATAGCAGCTTCACAAATTGAGTTCTCACATTCCATTAGAAGAATAACATGAATAGCATTCACTGCCACACTACATAACCCTATATAAAGACAAATAAAAGCTCTTAAAAAGTACGCCTTCCATTTTAACCAGATGCACTAAAGAATAACATGAATAAAATATTATAAATGCTAATTAATATTCTAAAATTACTGGTTAAGAAATTAAGTATAATTTTTTATTAAAAAGGTAATAATTTTCATAATTTTTAATACAATTCATCATAATTTATATTAAAAACACTATGTTTTAAATTCTTCAACTAATGCTCATACTGAAAATTTATAAAATATTACCGGTGTCTTTAGCTTTGATGTTATTTTAAATCCATCCAAACACATCACCAAAAACTATTTCACAGTGTAAAGACGCCAGTATTTTCTAACATGTTAAAATAAAACAAAACTAATTAAAAATGGAGATTCCTTACGTAACTCTTATTTTTAAACCCCCAACCAGTGGCCAACATTTGACGAGTCATACATAAAAATAAATAAAGACACGTCATTAAATATTAATTATTAAATTAAAATAAATTATTTATCTCTTTTTAATTTTGCTATTTAATCCTCTAGCATTGATCTATTTTAGTCTAATCTTTAACTTTTAAACATTAAAAAGTCAGTTCATTTCAATAGTTTTTTGGTCCAACTTTATTAATAACTCCGATCATTTATTATTAAAGTCTCACCTCCTCTCCATGTCTCAATAGCCTCCCTCCTCTCCTCACCAGACAACCACCATGATTTCACCTTTTCTTTATCATGCTTTCTTATGGAAAGTCCCAACATTGACAATCAATTTTCTATTCTTCCTTTAAAACACAAGCTCCAATTGTCTTTCACTTGTATTTTTATAACTTTTAACTAATAATTAATAGTGTGTTAGACAGTATTAGTATTTCTCTAATAAAACTGTATGAATTTTTTCACATACGGTGTATAATTTTTGTTTATTTAATGGACTAATCTATAAACCAACTCACCGAATTAGTAAGTTAAATCAGATTATTTTGTTTTCTTGCTGATCACAACGGTGAGGTGAGTTGAATTTCCTCGTTTAGAGATAAATTTATAGCGAGCCATTTTGACAGGTCTAGCCATGATTGTCACACAGTCCCTTTGCCCGCCAATGAAATCTGTCACCGTTAGCAACTCAATCCTTCATACCCAATCGGCAGCCACAGAGACACTGTCACCATTAGCAAAGACCATTGACCCTTACCTCAAAGACTGAAACACCAAACAACTCATGCTCAAAGCCATGCAACTTTTTTTTTAAACATGTCATATAATGATTTTGAATTTTATTCGATGATTATTTCGAAATTCTCTCAAAACAACTTAAACATTTTCATTTTATACTGATAAAGTTTTTACTTGAGTGTTATTTTAATACTTGTTGGGGAGGGGGGATGAGGAGAGTGACAAAATAGAGGAAGAAGAGGAAACTGAAACCCTATCGCACCCTTTTTTTCTTTATTTTTAGGCAAAACAATAATGATCATCGTTTAGGTGGCTAAGGTGTGAAAGAGGTCAAGCCATAGACATGATGAAAGAGGTCCTGCCAGCACATTATCAGAATTACTAATAGAGTTCGACAAAACTAACAAAAAGAATTAATTAATTGTAATCTAGCAATTAGAAGATTAAAAGTAAATAAATAAAAATTAGAGGAATAAAATATAATTTTGTGTAATTACTAATTAAATACATAAGGTAGTGATATATAAAAAAAAAAAAAGTAGAAGTAATGGATAAATCTATCCCAAAATACGAGAGTACTTTTTCGAACGAGTCTTCTACAAAATTTGTGTTAGAACTTCGAAGAAATAATTATGTTACATTTGCGACTCAACATGTTGATGATAGTAATCTCATGAAGCATCGTTCGTCCAAACAAAAGATTTGACTGTGGTAACTTTACATTTTCAAATAAAATTTTAAGAAGCGACGTGTTATAATTTAATTGTAAGTTATATAGGATTAGAGTCATATATTTGAAAGTTTAGAATTTTAATATGAATTTTATTAATTGGTATTAGAATCTTTCACTGTGTTTTTCTATTGTGAACGAGTAAAATGAGTGATTATATTGATATTGCAGTGTTCGCTTGCACTAAGTCAATTCACATTGAGTTTTGAACTTGAGTTTGATAATGAAAATATAAAATTTTAATATGGTTTTAAACTCTGTAGTTACGGTAGCTATCTTTTATGAAGTGATTCTTCCAAAGATTCTTAGAACACTTCTATATATTAAAAAATTATACTAAAACATAAATCAAAGACTCCAAAATCTTGTCTGTGATTGACAAGGAAAAAAAGGGATATGGTATGCGTTTATGATTTCCAACTAGCAAATAGCATGGAACATGTTGGATTTGTGAATTGTTCTCTCAATAAAGTCATTAACTTTTTTATGTATAATCCAAAAAATATCCGCCCGCATAATCAGATAAAACATTCCAACCAAAAAACTATAATTTTCTTTCTCCTAACTTAATTAACAGACTATAATAATGAAACAGATTTGAAAGTATAGCTTGCAACAATTAAAAACTACAGATACCACATGAGACATCAATATGACATGATAAGAGACAAAAACAGATATAAAAATATGATAAATTTTAAAATTTATAAAATACAATATGGTTATAATATTATATGTATATATATAGAGAGAGAGAAAGAGAACTTGTATAAATGACAATTCATCTTACAAATACAAATTTTAAATCAAAATAATCGTGATATACATAAATTTTATCATTCTTCTAACTGTAGCATTTTCGTTTGTGTTACTACAAAAAAAATTATAAAATACAATTAGTAATATTCAAATTATCGCATCATAAACAGATACATGTTCAACACAAGTACAGTTACTTTTAAAAAGGGATTTTAAAGAGGATAGGCAAAGGCAGAGTGTTACTTGTGGCGTTGAACAATTATTGGTATTTTCGGTAGCTTGTCTACAAGTATTATGGGACCAAGCTTCTGAAACGTCAGCTAGAGCCTATTGGGAATGACTGAAGAATCTCCATTACTGTTAAAAACTTGTCTAATATTTTCCACATTTTGCATGACAGAAAGGAAGAAACTCCAAATTTTCTGTTTAAACAAGTTGAAGATCATTGGAGTCTTTTCAGAGAGCAGAGAACTTGGACCTCTTGAAACGAATAGTTTATTAAAGACAAAAACACTCCATTCCCATTCCCTCTCCCCTCCCTACTTTCAATTGTATCTATGTGTACTCTTGCAGCTATTGTGTGCTTTTCATGGTAAAGTTTTCCACTTTCATTATTTTACCAAGAAATGATTTAGAATCAAAACTAGGAAGTTTTCTACTCAACAGTAAAAAATGCAATCTGGCTTGAAATGCTCACGAGAAGAAGTTAAATCAGAATTCTCATTCTATTTAGACCCGGAGTAATAATTCACATTCACCATTCATGTGAACGAATGCAGAAGTACATGACTCTCCCTCCCAGTCCTAGATCAACAGTTAAAACCTAAAGTCCAAAATTTTAGAGAAAGTAAATTGGTGAAGACACCTGAGAGAGTAGTTGGAAATGTTAGCAATATTATCCTAATAATAATGCAAATAGAAAGCACCACACTTGACATAAAGACAAGCATACAAGTTGCAACAAGTTCTACGGCGCCATATATCCAACACGATAACCTTTGTCTGTAAAATAATGAGTTTCTGATGTGCATACAAAAATTTGCATAGCTAACACTCGAAGTACCGCGCAAATAAAATATAATAAATGAAAATGAGAAAAGGAAAGAAAAATGAACCTCTTGTGTTTGATGGGTATGCATCTTCTTTTGAGTTTGATTAGAGATCGATAAAACCAAAGGAAAGTAATCGAGTTCACCTAATCTGACACACAGTTGCAGATAAAAAGCTTTTTGGCCAATCACACAATATCTCGATTCCATTCCCACTAAAAACTTCAATATCACTTCAACACACAACACTCCCCACAAGTCTGCAATGCAACTAAATGCTATTATTTGCAACCACTCTTTTCTCTTCAGACTCTCTTTTTCTTCTCATTCTCATTTTCGTTAGTTGCCCTTCAAACCACGGTATTATGAGGATGATGCTTTTATTTTATTTTATTTTCGGTCTTTTAAGGGTACATTAATAGAATAATAATTAAGTTGTTTTTAATATAATAATTAAAAATGTATGGCTATGGCTATGAATTTTTAAATAAAAGTACTTTTGAAATTATTTTGAATTAAATATTTTTAAAATTAAATTTTTCATCATATCAATTTATTAGTATAAAATAATAAATTAAAATATTAACAATTACTTAATGAAAAAATAAAAATATATTAAAATTATACTTTAGAAAATAGATCAAAAATACATATTCTTTTAATAGAAATAGTAAAAT